GTCCTCCCTTAATTCGACACACATAACTCTAAATTTAATACTCACCAGGAGTTCCCTCAGCACTTGGCACAGAATCTAAATAAGATTTTTTCCCATTGAATTTATAACCAATTAAATTATCAAAATCATTAGATGCTTGAAAGAGATGGCACATAATTGGAAACAGGAAGGGTGTTGTGAGAGGGGAAAAAAAAATTTTTTTTCAAAGATGGGGAAAATACAGCCTTATAGCCCAAGTAAAAATACAGTCACAGGGCTGAGGTTGTGGCTCAGAGGTAGAGTGCTTGCCTCCCAAGTGTGAGGCACTGGGTTCGATCTTCAGAACTACTATCACCAAAAAAAAAAAAAAAAAAAAAAAAAAGCCACAGCCGGTACAGTGGTGCACACCTATAATTCCAGCAGCTTGGGAGGCTAAGACAGGAGGACTGAGGCCCTCAACAACTCAGACCCTGTCTCTAAATAAATAAAAAATAGGGCTGAGGAGGTGGCTCAGAGTTCAATCCCAGGTACCAAAAACATATACAGTCCCCATCAAGAAACAAAAGGAGACTTAAACACAGATATCATTAAGAGAGATTAGGAGAAAATACCTCTACCTGAGACATCTTTAACTTGTAAGAGTAAGAAGCCAGAACAGACATCAACAAGGTGCTGAGAAAGGAGGCAAATTTTAATAAAGGTTACAAAGAAAACTGCCATGCCAAACAGCAACAGAAAAGAGGTGAAGCAGGTAGGGAACACCCAGGCCCTAAAACTACCTCCTGAAATGGGAGGAAGGGGAAACTCAGGAACAACAAATAGATTCTTTGAGAATACAATGTAGGCATTGAGAATCAACTTTCTGAAAATATAGCACATGGACTAATTACTTTTGTGCACATTTTTTTAAAAAATTGTTTTAGTTGTAGTTGGACATAATACCTTTGGTTTTATTTATTTTTATGTGGTGCTGAGGATCAAACCCAGGGCCTCCCACATGCTAAGAAGTGCTTTACCCCTGAGCCACAACCCCAGCCCTTGTGCACTTATTTTTTTTTTTACTGAGTAGCGTCTCAAATCTTTTCTAGACATTGGTAGGATTCAGACTACAGGCCATATATATGGGCTTTGCTAATAAACATTTTTTTTTAGGGTGGTGCTAGGATCGAAGCCAGGCCTTATGCATGTGAGGCAAACACTCTAACAATGAAGCTATATCTCCAGCCCTTGCTAACAAGTGAAAGCTGGAGTAGGGTCACATGCCTGTAATACCATCCACTCAGGAAGCTGAAGCAGGATAGCAAGTTCAAGGCCAGCCTCAGCAATTTAGCAAGGCCCTTAGCAACTTAGTGAGATCCTGTCTCAAATAAATGAAAAGGGCTGGGGATGTGGCTCAGTGGCAAAATACCCCTGGATTCAATCCCCAGTATAAAAACCAAATAAACAAACCTAGTGAAGAACTTCCACAGTGACAGTCACCCCAAATTCTGTCTAACTGGTCCCAAGACCTTTATTTATTTATTTATTATTATTATTTTTAAAGACAAAGATCTTGTTACACTGTCCAGGCTGGCCTCTAACTCCTGGGCTCAAGTGATTCTCCAGCTTTAGCCTCCCATGTACCTGGGATTGCAGGCCTGCACCACTGGACCTGGCTACAAAACCACGTGTCTTGTCCAGCTTCAGTAGTAATTTTTCTTAAATATATTTCTACCTGTATTACTTCCCAGTTTAAAACTCAACCCAACCATGCAGGCAACACAAGATAAATTTTTCTTTGCCATAGAACAAACTATCACACCAGACACTTTTCACATCTGATTCCTGCTTGCCTTCCCAATTCCACGACTGGTCACACTTCTTGTATCATCTATATTTCACCTGCAAGAACTTCCATTTCCTACCCTCTCAGCTTCAGAAAGACTGTCACTAGACCTATGTTGTTCACTGCTGTACTCCAAGCTGAAAGCTCTGCACACAAAAGACCTCAAAATAGTGCTAACTCAGAGCATTAATGCATGAATTCTCAAAGAGAGTAAAAAACGCTTATTTTATGTATAAAGCACAAATATATACACAGTAGGTAAAAACACCTACATTATGTCACATTGAAATCTCACAGGTGTGAATAGGAAAACTGAAACCACTCCTTTCAGGGATAATAATTTTTAAAAAGTGGATAAAGACTATATTAAAGCAACATTTTGGAATCAATGTTGGAAGCTCAAGTTCAAATACAAAGCCAACAACAGCAATAGTCTTTTCACTCACATGTCCCCATTTCATCTCAAAATCATGTAAAATTGTACCCAAGGTCTCTCCATACATAAAAAAAACAAATCAGGTGAAAAGTCAAAGTCAATACTATGAGGAACCAGACCCAGTCTACTGCCAAGCACCTGGCTGTGTGACCTTGGGCAGATCATCTCACCTTTCTGGGCCTCAGTCTCCCCAACCACTTGGGGAGCTTAAGCTGGGCTCCAAGGCTGCAGAGATGAGGCCCTAGGTCTGGCTCCGGAACCTGATGCAGAACCAGAACGAAATGAAAACTGAACGTCTGTGGGCACCGACTAGGATTAAGACAAAAACTGAAACACCCACAAAACTGCTCGCCCTAACTCTGTTCTCTTCCCTCCTCCCTCAAAGGGTCCAACGGTGAACAAGGGTCGCTCACGGGGAATAGCGTTTCGGGTCTTAAAATCTGACTTTCATACACCCGTGGGCAGGCGCGCCAGGGAGGGGACGGGCCGAGGCGCGCACGGGGCCGCAGGCCTCACAGTCGAACGCTCTTCCGACCACCGGCGGGCCGGGAAGCGCTCCCGGAGGCTGAGGACCTCCTCTCCGGGGCACCCTCGGGGCCCACAGAGGCCCCGCCATGCGCCCGGGTCAACTCGCAGGCCCACGACTGCGGGTGGCAGCGCCAGCACACAAAGGAAGCGTCGTCATTGGCAAACAAAAACCTCGCCCAGGTTTCCCCGCGAACAGCCGGCCCGCCCGCCCGCCTCTCCGATTGACCTTGGCGCGTCCCTCCCCTCCCCAAGCCTCAGTTTCCCTTCCTAGGTTCCGGAAGAAGCTCCGCGGTCGGCCTGCCGGGCCGAGACGATCCCCAGACCGAGGCTCCCAACTTCCGACGCCCGCGCTGGGCCGGCTCGGGCACTCACGCGGACGACTGGGCGGGGCGTGCGGAGCTGGCCAGAGGCCCCGGAGAGGTCGGCCCGGGCTGTGGGGCCCGAGCGGGGCCGAGGCACGCAAGGCGGGCGCCGACGCCTCTGCAGGCCGCAAAGCCGCCTGAACCCCGCATGTGCCTGGCCCTGACGTGCCACTCCCTACCCGCGAAGCCTAGACTTACCCAGGGTTCGGCAGGTCCGGCAGAAGCCACCGCCAACACACTAGCGTGAGGAAGAATCTTCGCAAGCCGATAAGGAGACCCGCTCAAGCAGGACTCCGCCGACTCAAAGCAACCCACTTCCGCTCCTCAGGCGTAGGCCCCGCCCCCCAAAGTCCCCATTGGTCACCCCCGCCCCTACTACCGCGGTCTACCGGTTAAGAAGGTGTATTTTCAATTCTATTGGATGAGAAAACCATCTATTACCGCTTTGAACGGCACCTCCTTCCGGCCCCACCCACGCTTGCGCGCCCAAGGTCCCAGTTCCCGCGAGAGTGGCGCCGGCGCCGCTACGCCCGCAAGGCCTCCTGGGAGTTGTGTCGGAGGCGCCAACTGTGTTGTTGCTCCTTAGAGGCGGGGCGCTCTAAAGCGAGCGGGCTCGGATTCTTCTGCTTCCTGGCTCACCTGCCGTTGTGTCCCTGGTGGGACCCGGCCGATAACGTGGACTGGAGTTCAGTCCCTACCAGCCAATTCACGCACTTGTCCGGGCCTCTTTCCTCGCCTGTTAACTAGACTTTTGTAACAAATGCCCCCGCGGCCCAAGGTCTGCGACCCTCTGCTGAAACCGGGCTTGAATCTGTCGTGCCAGGCCCTGAGTGTGTTGTTCCCAGCTCTTCCAGACTGGAGGAAGAGTCCCGGGGAAGAACAGCTCGTCCCATCCGCTGGAGCCAGAGGATCTTCGGCTTGGACGTCGGAGAGGGCTGCCCAGAGAAGGCGACCCCTAGCCGAGGACTGAAGGACGAGGAGGGAAGGGGAGAGCGTTCCAGCAAGAGAGCTGTCCCCAGAGCCTGGGAAAGGAGTGGGGAGATCTGGGCATTCCCGGGAGACCGAAGACTAGTGTCCCAGTGTGTCAGGAGCACGGGGAGGGGGGGCAAGAATCAGTCTGGGAGGGCCCAGGTGCCAAGTCCGGACAATCTTGTGGGCAAGGGGTACCAGAAAAGGAAGAGTGAAGGGAAAAGCATTCTTCCCCAGGATGGGCCTAGGAAAGGGCCAAGGCCCAGGCAGAGACAGGAGGTCTCAGGGGCATCTTGTAGACTCCAAGTGTCCATAGAGTGCTGTCCCTGGATCCCCCTGCTTAAGTTTGAAAAGTAGCTCCATTGTTGGGGCAAGTCTCAGAAGTTCCCTCACCTCTTATATGGAGATAGTAATTGTACCTACTTCAAAAGAAGAATGTGGAAGGTTGGATTCAGCAGCCCTGCCCGAGTGCATGAAAGCCCCTGCTTGGGATGGCCTGCCAGAATCAAATAGAGAATGAAGAGGGTTTCTTGAGCTCTGGATTTGGGAATGGATTTAAAATCAAGACAAACAAAACCACTCATCTTGTCCTTGTTGTCCTAAAACACCCAGATCAGCTACTGAATCTCTGTATGTTCAAATCTCTGTAGGTTCAAAAGAACCTTATTGTGTTTTTTGGCTAGCCTGCATTCAGGCAAAAGCTCAGCTCTCTGGGTGGTTCAGCTAAGAAAGGTCCAGAAAGAGCATTGGAAGCAACAGCTGGATCTTATGTCCCTCTAGGTGGTCCCCTGTCTTGGGAAACTTGAATCTCAAAGGACCCATGCAGGGAGAGGGAGGCAGGAGTCCCCACTGTGATGGTTCAGGGAGCTGTTGCTTTGAAACAAGCCACCAAAGCCCAATATTTTAAACAACAGGTGTTTATTGTTGCTCAGTTGGGAGTGTAGAATTCTGGTCCTGGCCGCCCTCACATGTGGGAGATGGGGTGGGAGTGTCTGCTACTTGCAGAATGATCTAGAATGGACTCAGGACAACTGGCTCTCCTTCACAAGTTTCAGCTGTCTTATCCCAAAAGGCCACCCAGGGTCACTGGGGCCTGGTAGGCTTCTAAGTGAACAAGTGGAACCTCCAAGACCATTTTAGTTCCAGGCTCTGAGCTGGCACAAGGCTACTTATGCTGCATTCTTTTGGTCCAAGTGAGTCTCCAATCCAAACTAGGTTCAGAGATTGAGAAATATAGACTTCACCTCTTGATGGGAATGGTAAAGTCACAAGGCAAGGAGTTATGGATACAGATAGACATTCTGCCACAGTTTTAGGGAATGACCCTAGGCCTACACCCACTCATGTAGATGGAGCAGTTTCCCACAAGCTAGCTCTTAGAACAGGACTGGAGAGGGGACCTAGTTGACTCCCAATCAACATTGTTGCCAAGAGCATCAATTTATGTTGGGGACCTTGCTGACTGCCAATCAACATTGTTGCCAAGAGCATCCACAGTGTTGGTCTGCCATATCTCTGCTCTGCCCAGAGGCAAGCCTAATAGGTGAAGGTGAAGGACAGTTTCCTCCCTTGCCACAGCCTTGCTGCGGGCAACCATACAGACTTGCCCCCATTGCAGAAGGCTGGCTTAACAGGAACTCCTTCAAGCCTGGAGACATATTCAACATTCCTGAAACAAACTGCTACCAGCTTGGAGATAGAACTCCTGCATCAGGCGTGTCCTGAAGTCCATCTGCCTTTGGCTTGCCACTTAGGGGAGCTGATAAATCCTTTTGAATCCTTCAGAGCTCCTGAAAGTCTGTCTGGACTAATTATCAGGGTATTCCCTCAATATCAAATGAAATGGATTTGAATAGCACAACACAGGATATAAAGAGATTTTTTTTCATTAAATGAAATTTAATCTATTCTCAGCTCTGATTCAACAGGGAGATGGGAATTTCTCTTTACCAACCTGGGTTGTGGGAAAGTTCTGGAGTTCTAATACAATTCAGAATATTGCAGTAGGACTCTGACCCTTAAATCTGTTCTTGTCACTGCTCATGTGTGCTTTCCTGATCTGAAAGTGCTCAGAGGCCCAGCCTCCACTGCTGAGGTACCAGTTCTGCAGGTCAAAGGAGAAGGGGAAGTATGTCCCTCTCCTGAATATTTATCCATCTGAGAGTTTCTAGCCCCTCCCTTACTGCACCCCACCGCAGGGACTGTCTACATTCTATCCTTTTAGTGAGCAGCAGCATGATGTGCTCTGTTCTAGAGGGCCAGGAGGCTCTTACTCCACAGGCCTGTTCTCAAGGTCACCCCTTCTCCAGCCAACAAATCAGTCTTGGTCCCTGCACTGGACCACCTGTTTTCCAGTGGTCCCAACCTTGTTGATTCCGGGCTCCTTCAGTACTCTGTAAAGTCACCCATGCTTAGCTCTGTGTCTGGCTCTCTGGACAGGTCACCTCTCTGAGCACCAATGGTCTCATCAATGAAATGAGAATGGGCCAGAGTTTCTATGTGTCCAAAATCGCAGATTACATGATAAGGCATGGGAAGGGCCAGAATGGTACCACAGCACAACTGCACACAGGATCTTAGGTTCTCAAGTGAAGCCACTGGGTCTGGATAGCGGGTGGGGACTCCAGTGCTGATGATGTTCTGGAGCTGGGAGCGGGATAAAGGGGTCCTTGGGAATGATGACTTGCTGGGCCCTGAGGAAGGGCTAGGGTCTGGGCCCGAGGTCCAATTCAGCATATTAAAATGCAGGTGGGAAGTTAAATTTGAATTCCAAATAAAGAACGGATACTGGTTTTCTTTCACATAGTGACTGAGCGGCCTGCCTTTTCTATCAAAGCACCGCTCGCGCAGATGCGGGCTGGGGAACACAGGGCTGGGCGCGGTCGCGGGCAGCACGCGGCGGCGAGGGGGGGGGGGGGTATAGCGGCCCAGGCGCAGGGCGCGCGGCTCAGGCAGCCTCCAGGCGGCGCGCCGGTGCGATCGCCGAATCCCGGCGTTGCAGGGCCCGCAGCCTACGCTCGCGGCTCCTCTCCAGCTGCAGCCAGTGCTGCGCTTCCAGCTGCGCCTGCGGGCGGGGGGCTGTGTTGGCATGAGCAGGGCACGCCAGGGCGGCGGCCGAGACCAAGCTGGAGCTCACCTTGGCTCCCCGAAAGCTCACCCGTGACTGGCGGCGCTCAGTCCGCGGCGCCGGCAGGTGCAGCGAGGCCGCCTGCCGGCGGCGCTCCGCCACCCTCTCCTGGATCCTGCGCTGCAGCTCCAGCACGCGCTCGTCTTGGGAGGCCGCGCCCGTAACCGCCTGGGCTTTCTTCTGCTCCCACCTGGCCAGGGACAGATTGGGTTTAGGAGTGGCGGTCTGAAACCCGGCACCGCCCGGGGCAGGGTCACCTTGCGCAGGGTTGGCCTGGAGTCCTGCCAGCATCGCTGCCCGTATGTTTCTTTTTTAAAAAAAATATTACATTCATCCGGGAGTGGTGTAATACTAGCGACACGGGAGACTGAGACAGTTCGATCACAAATTCAAGGCCAGACTCAGCAACTTGGTCTCAAAATAAAAAAAGGGGAGCTGGATTTAGCTCAATTGGTAGAGTGCTTGCCTTGAATGATGCACAAGGCCCTGGGTTTAATCCCCAGAACCAACAAAAACAAATAAAATAAAAAAGTCTAGGGATGTAGCACAGTGGTAAAGCGCCTCCAGGTTCAATCCCCTGGAGTTTGGAGGGAGGGTTAGTATGTGAAAGCCCCTTTTATCTCACTCTCTTCTTGACTCTCTTGTGCCTAGAGGTCCTTGTGCTTAGAGGTGACTACTGCTAATTTCTGTGGTGTGTGTCCTTGCACACTGTCTCCACACATAGGCAATTTCCCTGTCTCATCAGTAGGTCTTGTTCCCTGCCAGAGTTGACAGTAACTGCACATCACAGTGTACTGCATGTGTGGGTTCTCACTCCTATGTCTACACTCCCTGTTGATTGTCCTGTCCCCCCCCACACACACACAGAAAAATGCTCCTGCTGAATTACTGCTGTTGGGGCTGGTTGCACACATGGGGTAGGGCTCCAGAAACTTGTTATCCAGAGTAGGGCCCTTGGAGACACTCTAACAACTGCTTTTGGGGTCAGCTGGGACCAGGTCAGCAGCTGGGAAGTGGTGAAGTTTCCAGGATGTGTACCACTGTGGGACCTGCTGTGGCCTGCAGCCCTCCCTGAGCAGTCCCTAGTTGCATGTGCTTTATCTGAATTGCAGCCAGAGCAGCAAGTGGCTCAGAGAACCAAGGGTGATGGATTTCTCCCAGTGACAATGAATTACTCTTTTCTCCATCAGACCCGTCTTCACACACCACCCCATTCCCACTCTGGGGCCCAGTGTGCTCTGCTGTAATAGTGAGGATATTGAGGCATGGGGGACCAAGCCAAGATTCAAAGGCTAGCATGACCCTGGTTAGAATGGGGAGATACCTACCTGTGCCTGTCTGGGTTGCCAAGTGACAAGCGCATGGGGCTGGAAAAAGTCATCATAGTGTCCCCAGAAGCAAAAAGCAAAAAGGTGTGTGTGTGTGTGTGTGTGTGTGTGTGTGTGTGTGTGTGTGGTGCGTGGGAGTGCACGCAAGCACATATACATGCACATTCATATGCTGTGTTTGATCCAGACCCTGGTGTAAAAAAAAAAAAATTTACAGCAAACAATCTTTAAAAGGTTTTAGTAGTCTTGGGATACCTGGAAAAATGTGAATACAGAGGGGTCATTTAAAAGATGTTGGGAATTTTTTGTTACCTTTCCTGGTTGTGCCAGTGCTTTGGTTTTGTAGAACACTCTTCTTTTTTTAGAAGATGCATACTACATTTTTCAGGAATGAAGCATCTGATTGATGCCTGCAACTACTTCCAAATGGCTGTGCAGACAAATAAATAGCTAGCTGGTTAGATGAAATATGGCAGAAGGTTGTGCACATGGCCTAGGTACAAAGTGGTTGTATTTAGGTCATGGGCATGGAAGCCATCACCGCATGATCCCCACCATTTCTGTAGACCTGAGAATCATCCACTAAACTAGGAGATGTGGAGGGATTTCCTGCAAGGGGCCTGCCTAGCAGGAGGGTGGAGACTGCTTCAAGGAGACCCACTCTGGGGAATAATTGGCTTGCTGTTCCTTGCGCACCTGGAGGCACCCTTCTGGGTTTCAGGTACTTACCTCATAGCCGCAGTTTTCCCCATGGCCTTGCGGCACAGTGAGATCTGCTCCAATGTGTTCAGTAGCTCCTGGCTCTTGGTACGCTTGTCCTGGATGATTTGATCTCGCTTCTCCTCCTCCTCACGCCTCTGGGTGTCTCTGAGCAGGGCCAGTCGCTCTCGAAGCTCCACAACAGACATCTCCCCCTCCACACCATACCCGGGGATCTGCCAGATGGCAGGGGAGGCTCCAAGCTGGCAGCTATGCAGCCTGCCCCCTGCCCTGCCTGCCTTCCTTCTGTTTCCATTCTGCCTCTGCAACATGCTTCTAGCTTCTCCAGCTGGAGCCCACTCTGTAGCCCACACTGGCTGGATACCCTAGCAGGTGCCCCTTACCCCATGGGGCCAGACTCCAAAGCCAGCTCTCATGGTACCTCCTGTGCTGCCTCTCATCCCATGAACCTAGCTCCTTCCTGATTTCTCACACGTTTCCAAGAAACTGTCCTCATAGCCTCCGGATCTATCCAGTCCCAGCCATCTGCACACCTTGCTCTCCCTGCATTGCCCTTCCCACATGCCTCAGGGGTTGCAGGGGTCCAGTCTGGTGTCTGTCTTACCAGCAGGTCCAGGCCTACAGCACCCTGAGTGCTGCTGAGTCCACTGCTGGTGGTGCCCCCACTCCATGAATTTGGGGATGGGCAAGATCTGGCTTGGTGGGAATTCTGGACTTGCTGTTCCCAGCACAGAGATTCACGCAGGGTATGAGTTCTGGGGGCTGTGTCCTCACCTGGGTCAGGTCCACCAGCTTGCCCTTGCATGTGGGCTGTGTCTCCAGTGCACGCAGCTGCGAGATGAGTTCACAGCGACGCCTCTGCTCCTCCCTGGCTGCCTCTGAACTTCGCTGCAGCATCTCCCGGCTCTCCTCCATTACCTCCTGAACTTGGGGACCAAGCAGAGTGCTGAGGGCATCCAAGAGTGCCTGGATGGCACTGGACAGAATCCACCTCCCCCTGGGAATTTCAGGTTCAGTTTCTGACCAAGTGAGTCATCCTGGGAGGATCTGTCCAGTCCCAGCCCACCCTCCAGTGACCACAGCAGCTCACTCAGCAGGATGCTGGCCTAGGACCCAAGCAGGGAAGAATGGAGCCGAGCAGACCTCCAGGAACCTGGCTCCTTGCCATACCTATCTGCCGTCGGCCCTTCACAAGCTTCATCTGAGCCACTTTGACATTCTTCTGTGCCTCTGTCACTTGTTCCACCAGCTCCTTCATGGACTTGGCCTCTCTGAGCCTCCTCTCGGCACACTGCAGCATCAGCTCAGCTGTCTGCTCAGAGGACTCATCATTGTCAGAGCCCAGCCAGGCTCTCCTCCCATCCTGACCCAGGCCTGCCCTGACACCCCAGGGCTGGCAGTTTCTGGGGGGTCCTCTTAAGGTTGGAGAAGTCCCCCTGACATCTTCCTCCCTCCCTGTGTGATCCTGGGGCTGAATTTGTTAAGCCACCTGGTCTGGGCTGCCCTGGAGTCAGAGTGCATATGGTAATGTAAAATAAATGCTCAGAATGGAGACAGCAGGGTGGGGAGGATATAGAACCTTTGCAGCTTTTCTGTAAATCTTAGGTCTGTCCTAAAGTGAAAGGTTTATTTAAAAAAAAATTACTGTAGAGGGGCTCAGCCTTCGGGTTCAATCCCCTGGGACCAAAAAAGAAAAAGGAATTAGAAAATAATTTTGTTGTTATTGTGGGTATTGAACCCAGGACCTTGCACACGTTATGCACATGCTCCACTGCTAGCCTGCACCCCCAGAACCACTTTTGAAATTTTGTAATATGTCAGAGAAATGCTTATGTGGAAGTAGGAGATGAAGAGAAAAAGTGGCTTCTCTCAAAGAGGTAGAGAGGGACCAAAGGTGCCTGGTTCTGTGGCTCCCCAGCTTGGCCACACTGTCAGGGACGGGCAACCAAAGGCTGGAGATCACTCCACAGCAGGGAGACAGCAAGAGCTTCGTGTGGGAGTAAGAAAGAGGAGATTTCTGGCCAAGCAGTGCTTCTCACCTGTTATAAATGCACATAGAATTGGGAAGTGGCTCACATCCTTGGAGAAGACACTAACTTGGGGGCAAAACTTCCTGGATGTTCAGTTCTATCTCCCTTAGCCTTGACCAGCTGTGTGACGACCTCAGGTAAATTCTGGGTCTTCCTGGGCTTCAGTTTCTTCCTTCCTTCCTTCCTTCCTTCCTTCCTTCCTTCCTTCCTTCCTTCCTTCCTTCCTCCCTCCCTCCCTCCCCCCTTTCTTAATGGTGCAGAGAGATAAGCATTCTACCAACTAAGCTATATTCCCAGCCTTCAGTTTTTTTTAATTAAAATTTTTGTTTTAAAAATGTTGGGAGTTTTCAGTGTCTTTGCTGGGAAATCAGAGGCCGTATCCCTTCCTCAGCTGCATGGAGCACAGCACACAGAATGAGGCAAGGGCTCACTGCCCTCTCAGTGGCAGCATGGGCATCAGTACAGCGTCAGGGAGAAGAAAGGAGAGCACAGGGCAGGGGCCATAAATGTGCAGCCACCTGGCCAGGCTGGCAGTGAGGTTGAGGTCACCACAGATGAGTTAGCGAGAGCCACAGCTGGCCCAAGCCAGGATCGATGCCTGGTTGCATCTGAAGGAAGCCCTAAACCACCTTCTGCCTGGAGTTGCTCAGAGGCCAGCAGCCTGCCGTGCGTCCCCGGTCCCTGTCTGGAGGTCCATCAGGTCCCGCAGACCTCATCCTGCTATCACAGAGTGCCACTGCGCTAGGGCTGCACGTGGAGCTGGCCCCACATGTTCAAGCCCCTGTAGTGGCAGAGCACTTGTCTAGTGCACACAAGGCCGGCGCTTGGATTCCCAGCTCCAAAAACAAAGCAAGACAAAACAAAACCAGAACATGCTGGACAGGATTTACGTGACCAGAGCCAAGTGGAAAAGTGCCGCAAGTGCTGCCAAACTAAATGGGCTAATGCTTGGTAAAATGTGTCTACACAATAGTCCCCATGACAACTGGCCTGCAAAGGCTCTTCCCCAGTGGACCTGCTGTTGACACTGGCACAGGCGCTCTGCATTCAACCCACTGTGCCAGTGGGTTAAAAAGCTTTATTCAACATGACTGATTATTCTCATTGTTAAGGAGTTAAGGATGACAGAAGCCATGTTGGGGTCTCCTGATCACAGTGCTCCTGCCCCACAAAGCCTCTCACCAGACTGCACCTTTCTTGCTCCCAGCTCTGGCTTCAAGGGCCCTGCTTTGATGGGCTATGTCCTTCCAGGTGGCCCTCATAAGGCAACTTAGGAGGTTCTTCAGGTCCTTCTCTGGTCTGGACAAGGAGAGTGCCTGGCTGCTGCTGCAGTGCTGCCCTCCTGCCCCTGCACCACCTCTCGGCTTCCACATAGGTCTAGGCTCCTCTCTGTGGCTTTCAAACTCCAGGGAATATCACAGGGATTAACCTCAGGAGAGCAAGGGTGAATTGACAGGAAGAAATTACTGGGCTAAGGATGTGAGGATGCATAATTCTAAATATGCATGCACCAAACAACAGAGCTACAAAATATGTGAAGTAAATGAGCACTTGCCTAGCATGCATGAGGCCCTGGGTTCTATCCCTGGTATAAAAAAAAAAGAGAGAGAGAAAGAGAGAAATGATCAAAATGATGCACTAGGGAGGGGAAAATACAATCATATGTGCAGCTGCTGAAAAAGCTATTCTTAAAACTCAACACTGGGGACTTCTGGGAAGATGGAGGGCACTTTTACCTGACTCTCTCATTAGAGACACCAGCACCCCTGGCTGCTGTCTCTAATATAAACATAGGAAGACTCTGAAGGCAGACTGCCCAGGAGCTGCAGGCCTGAAACCTCACAGAGTGTGAGTTCTCTGGGTTTTCTGGTGCCAGTGGAGCTGTCAACATAGTAATGCCAATAGGTGTAAACTAAAAAATCCCACCGACGTCTGCCGCTTTCTCTAGCCAAAAGACCAGGAAAAGGGCAGCCTGCAAGGACAGGATAACTCTACAACCTAACCTCCAACTCCAGGAGGACTGCATAGAATGCTGTGTGGTCCACCTCATCCCCATCAGAGAAGACTGAGAGGGAGCCTGGGCTGGACACTCACCAGGCTGAGCTAAGGTGCACCAGCCGCAAGGTGGTAGCAGAGAAGCCTGCACAGAGACCTGGGGGCTCCATGGAACTTGGACTTCCACCCACCCTTGGTGTGAACAGAGCCTCTCCCCCACTACCTGGGGTGGCTAAAGGTGCTTTAGACAAAAAGAGTGATTAAAAGAGAGCTCTTGTTACATCAGGAAGTAAGAATGTCGGGAGCAAACACAGGTACATACAGAGACTTCCTTCTTTCCTGCCTTCTTAATTACGTCTGTGGTTGAAGCAAAAATCATAATGCTGTCTGATGTGACTCTAAATGTATGGAAAAAAAATATTTCCAACAATTCTATAAAAAGGGGAGGGCAAGGGGTGTAACATGACACCACGTGTAGACTATGTCCTGTGCTGCTGTATTTTGGGTCTGGAGTGTCCCCAGGGCCATGTGTTGAAGAGTGGGCCCCCAGCCTGTGGTATCACTGGGAGACTGTGGAACCTTCAGGAGGAGGGGCCTGGTGGCAGGAAGTCAGGTCATTAGATACATGCCCTCAAAGGGGAAAATGGGACCCTAGTTCCTTCTCTTTTTCTATCTTTTATTTCTCAGCCCCCATGAGATGAGCAGCTTTGGTCTACACCTCATGGCACACTCCTACTGTGATGTGCAACCTTGCCACAGGCTCCAAAGTAATGGAGCCAACCAACCATGGACTGAAACCTCCAAAACTGTGAGGCAAATAAAACCTTTCTTCCTTTTAAGTAATCACAGATATTTTGTTGCAGTAACAGAAAGCTGATCAAGACATGAATATATAATGCACTATCTTGAGAAACAATAAAAAAGTAAAGAGATGTACTATAATTATATAAACACCATAACTAAATCAAAATGGAATTCTGAAAAAAAATTGCCATTGAAAGGCAACAAAAACAGAAAAACAAACAAAAAGTAGAATAAACAAAACAAAAAGTGGCAGGCTTAAACCTAGCAAAATAACTAATTACATGTAACTGGTGAATATATATCAATTAATAGCAGCAATTAGCAGATTAAAAAACAAGAATCTTCAAATATAATCACATAGACAGATTGAAAGTAAAAAGGATAGAAAATATATATCATGCACACATTAACCATTAAGTAGAGCTTTAATATCAGATAAATAGATGTCAGAGCAAAGAAAATTGCTGGAGACAGAGAGGGTTATTAGATAATAATAAAAGGGTCAAGACCAGGAAGACACCAATTCTAAATAGGCATGCACCAAACAACAGAGCTACAAAATATGTGAAGCAAAATCCAATAGAGCAGAAAGAAGAAGAGATAATTTCACAGTCACAACTGGAGATTGTAACACTTCTCCTCAACAACTGATAGAACAACTAGACAGAAAGTCAGCAGATGCACAGAAAAATTCACTATTGTTATGGTTTAGATATTAGGTGTCCCCCAAAAGTTCATGTGTGAAACAATGCAAGAAATTTAGAGGTGAAATGATTGAGTTACAAAGACTTAACCCAAACAGTGAATTAATCCCCCAATAGAAATTAACTGGGTGGTAATAGTAGGTGGTAAGGTGTGGTGGGAGAAAGCAATCATTGGGGGTGTGCCTTTGGGGTATATGTTTTTTTCTGTGAAGAGCAGAGCTCTGTCTCTGTGTCCTGGTGTGAGGTCCTGAGCTTCTTTCCTCCACCAATTCTTCCGCCATGATGTTCTGCTTTCACTATGCACCTCATTCCACAGCCCTGAGGAATGAAGCTGGCCGTCTATGGAACTGAGTCCTCTGAAATTGTTAGCCCCAAAATGAACTTTTCCTTCTATGATTTTCTTGTCCCTGCAGTGAAAAAGCTGACTAAAACAAGTGCTAACCAGCAGGAGCCAGTCAATGTCCATGAACTATCCAATGACAGCAAGCAGAGTATGTGTTCTTTTGAAGTGTTTCACATAAAACATGGCAAGATAGACAACATCCTGCTTTGCGTGGTGACACACGCCCATAATCTCAGGAACTGGTGTAGGAGGATCACAAGTTTGAGGCCAGCCACAGAAACTTTAGCAAAATTCTGCCTAAAAACAAAAATGAAAAAGACTGGGAATGTAGCTCAGTGGCTCAGTGATTGACTGCTCCTGGGTTTAATCCCCAGTATAGGGGTGAGGAGGGGAAGGAAAGGAAATCAATAATAGAAAGATGCAGGAAAGGGGCTGAGGCTGGGGCTCAGCATAGAGCACTCGCCTGGCACATGGGAGGCCCTGGGTTTGATTCTCAGCACCACATAAAAATAAATAAATAAAATAGAGGTATTGTGTCCAACTACAATTATAAAAAAAATTTAAAAAAAGAAAGACAACAGGAAAATCTCCAAATGTTTGGAATCCATACAATACACATTTCACTTCTAAATAATTCATGGAGGAAATCTCAAGTGAAATGGAAAAAAATGTGTCAAAGCGAATGAACATAAAATAAAATACATTAAAGGGGCTGGGGACGTGGCTCAAGAGGTAGCGTGCTCGCCTGGCATGTATGCGGCCCGGGTTCGATCCTCAGCACCACATACAAACAATGATATTGTGTCTGCCGAAAACTAAAAAATAAATATTAAAAATTCTGTCTCGGGCTGGGGATGTAGCTCAAGCAGTAGTGCGCTCGCCTGGCATGTGTGCGGCCCGGGTTCAAGCCTCAGCACCACATACAAAGATGTTCATACAAACAAAGATGTTGTGTCCGCCGAGAAATAAAAAATAAATATTAAATAAATAAATAAATAAATAAAATACATTAAAATTAGCAAGAAATAGCTAAATCAGTAAATCAAAGATGATGCATATCACCAAGTGCTTGCAATAGAAAGGCAGAGAATTCTCAAATCAGTAACCTAATCTCCCATCTCAAGAGCCTAGAAGAAGAACAAAATAAGCAAACAGAGGGAAGTGAAGATCAGAAACCAATTTAAAACAGCAAAACAATAGAGAAAATCATCAAAACAAAAAGCCAACTCTTTGGAAGGATGAGTAAAATTGAAAATCTCTAAACAAGAATTGCAGATCAAAAGCAAAAAGTTCCAAATTGGAAATACCAGGAACAAAACAAGTTTTATCATTACAGCCCCTACAATAATAGAATATCACACACAACTTCTACACACATAAATTTGACTTTGTCAAATGGATTGATTCTTCAAAATATGCAAACTGTCACAGCTTACCTAATATGAAGTAGATTGTTTGAATAGTCCTACACCCATTTGTCATCTTAAAACTTCCAAAAAAAGCAATCCCCCACTAGGGGTTAAGCTCAATGGAGGAATGCAATGTTTAGCATTAGAAAGGTCCTGGCTTTGATCTCCAGTACAAATAAATAAGTAAATAAAATAAACTTAAAGGAAAGCAAAAGCCAATCTTCACTTTTTTTTTTTTTTTTGGTACCAGGGATTGAACCCAGGGGTACTTAACCACTGAGCCACATCCCCAGCCCTTTCTAATATTCTATTTAGAGACAGGACCTCACTAAATTGCTGAGGCTGGCTTTGAACTCTGGTTTGCATGTAGAAAAATTAATTTAGGAGTGCTATAACTGCTATTAATGTTGGTAAAGTAATGTTATTATTTGATATGAGTTCTTTAATGATAATTCACCTTGGGGTGAACCCAGTTGGGGTGGAAGTCCTCCTAGTGATATTAATATACTGAGAGTTGTCAAAGTTAGAAGGGGGAGTTTCTCTCATATATTTGAGAGGGATAGGGTGGTAGTTTTTTTGTTATAGTGAAATAATATAAATATGTTAATTGTGAGTATAATGTAAACAATTAGACTTAACATAGTTAAAGTAGGATTAAATGTAATAATTGCTATTATTCAGTTTATATGTGCAATTGATGAGTATGCTAGATTTTTTTTTTATTTTCTAGTTGTAGTTGGACACAATACTTTTTATTTCACTTATTATTTTTACGTGGTGCTGAGGATTGAACCCGAGGTGAGTGCTCTACAGTTGAGCCTCAACCCAGCCCCTTGCTAGAATTTTTTATAGTTGAGTTTAATTAAGTCCTCCTCAGTCTCCTAACATGATGGATAAAATCGCCATAGATAATATTAAAGGAGAATTAATAGGTGGTGCAATTTGGTATACAATGGAGACTGGAGCGAGTTTTTGTCATGTTAGTAGAATTAGTCTTGATATAAGCGGAATTCCTTGAATAACTTCTGGAATTCAAAGGTGAAATAGGGCTAGTCCTATTTTTATTGATAAAACGATAGTAAATATAAATAATGAGATTTGTTTACATGAGTTGGTTAATGGGATCCTCCTGCCTTAGTCTCCCCAGCTGCTGGGATTATAGGTGTGCACTACTAGGTCTGGCTTAGAAAAAGCGAATCCTTTTTTTTTTTTTTTAAAGAGAGAGTGAGAGAGGAGAGAGAGAGAGAGAATTTTTAATATTTATTTTTTAGTTCTTGGAGGACACAACATCTTTGTTGGTATGTGGTGCTGAAGATCGAACCCGGGCCGCACGCATGCCAGGCAAGCGCGCCACCGCTTGAGCCACATCCCCAGCCCAAGAAAAAGCGAATCTTAAAATTGAATGCAAACAGTTAAAAATGGGTCTAACGAAAGAAGTAATTTGGGGCTGGGGTTGTAGCTGAATGGTAAGAACTTGCCTACCATGTATGATGTACTGGGTTTGATCCTCAGCATCACATAAAAAATAAATAAATAAATAAAAGGTATTGTGTCCAACTATAACTAAAAATATTTTTTTAAAAAAGAGGTGATTTGGGTGATCTTGTTGAGCGTGTCCTCTGACCTCAGGGACTCAGTGGGACACATCTGAGGAGAGACATGGCTACAGATTGGACCTATGAGGCCAGTGGGGGCCCTCCTTGGGCACATCTGGGAGACACTGGTAGGCACAAGCACACAGGGGATGCAGGTTGGGAGCATTCACCTAGATAGTCTGTCCTTGGTGGAGAAAGAGCCAGGACTGGCACATCAGGTCTTCGAAAGTGGTAACCTGGACACCCACAAGTCCCCTCCCCCCGCAGAGCAAACATGTTACATGCAAAGGTGTCCACCACTAGAAGGTTTTGGCAGAATCTCAGGGCTTCCCCTGGAAACCCAAGGATCCATAGATCAAATCTCCCTGCCGATGGGAGTGGGAGGCAGCCTAGAGCAGAATGGCCTGATAGTCCTCTCAGCCCTGGTGACATGAAACTCCTGAAACTTGCCTACTGGGGAAGGTACAGAAAAACCATGTCCATCCTACGGGTCTTGGAAAGAAATGACCTAGGATTAGCCTGGGAGCCAATGGCACAGGAACTGCCAGGCTGCAGCAATAGCACAGGCCTTCAGCTCTCTGCCCACCATGGCCCATGGCTCCTGAGGTCACACAGCTCAGCTGCCCCGTGATCCCAGCTGCTCATATGTGGCACATCACCTCCTCTTTCTTCTGGTCTGCCTTCTGCTTGTTTTCCTGTATGAGGTTCTGCCGGGCCAGGATGGCCTCCTCATGGCTGAGCTTCCCCTGTAGCCGCCGGCACTCGCCTGCAGCCAGCTGCTCCTCCTGGTCCTTTGCTTGCATCTTCTTCTGCCACTCAAGGAACTCAGAGAAGTCCCCAGCTCCATCCACAAGCTTATCAACCCTGGGGACAGAGGGACCAAGGATCAGGTCTACCAGGAGGCCACAGGTTCCCTGGAAGGTAGTGGTCCTCATAGGCAGGGGCTGCTACCTACCCCCACACCCAGACACATCACCAACCTACCTACCTAGCATATGTCACTACCTAGCACATACCACCCCTTCATCCACTTGTTTGCTATTATGGTTTGAATTTTTAATGTGCCCCCAAAAGCTCATGTGTTAGGCAATGCAGGAATGTTCAGTGGTGAAATTATGAGACTTTTAATCTCATCTGTGGATTAATCCATTTGATGGGTTAATAATTTAAATGGATTACTGAGTGGTAAATGTGTCGCCAGGTGGGGCTTGGCTGAAGGAACTAGGTTACTGAGGGCATGGCCTGGACAACATCTTCCTCCCTCCCTCCCCCACCTCACTGCTTTCTAGCTGCCATGAGATGAACAGCCTTCCTCAACCTGCCCTTCCACCATGATGTCTGCCTCACCTTGAGTCCAGAGCACTGGAGTTGGACAACCACGGACTGAATCTTGGAAATTGTGAGCCCAAAATAAACTCAGTGCCTCATACAGGCTAGGCAAGCGCTCTGCCACTGAGCCCCAGCCCCAGCCCCCAACCTGGGCTGGCTTAAGTCCTTGTATTAGGTAGACAGTTTAGCCATGAGCAGGTGGGTAGGGAGGACAGTCAACTGCAATAGCTTACAGGGGGACCTCAGACATGTGCACCCAAGAGTCCACAGGCCATAGGACGAGGGTAATAAAAACTTCACAAAGCAGACAAGCAACCAGAAAATGGGAACTAGTATGCCAATCCTCCACAGGTACACTTAATTATAACCCTTCAGGGAACTATTATTTCAAGACCATGTCACACCTGTCCCTTGTGACCAGTCCTCAAACCCTCTCCTTGTAACCAAGTCATCAGGACCCTCACAAAGAAAAGTTGCTTAAGGCTCAACAGAGGGGTAATAAGCCACTTAGGGGAAAGAAAAACCAAAGCTAGAGCAAAGGGACCCAAATCCTTAAAAATCCTGGCTCTGCAAGGGCTAGTCCCTCCCGGGCAACCCCTTTGGTGCCTAAATGTCTGTACTCTAACTTTTTTTTTTCTTTTTTTTTATACCAGGGATTGAACCCAGGGGTACTTAACCACTGAGCCACATCCCCAGCCCTTTTATTTTTACTTTGAGGTAGGGTCTATCAAGTTGCTTAGGGCCTCACCAAATTGCTGAGGCTGGCTTTGAACTTGCAATTCTTCTGCCTCAGCCTCCGAGTCACTGGGATTGCAGCTGTGCACCAGGGCACTGTATTCTTACTCTTTTATTTTTTTATTGTTATTTTTTTTAAAGAGAGAGTGAGAGAGGAGAGAGAGAGATATATAGAGAGAATTTTTAATATTTATTTATTTTTTTAGTTCTCGGCGGACACAACATCTTTGTTGGTATGTGGTGCTGAGGA